GCAGAGACAGGACAATCCCTAGAAGTTCACAGGTCACCTAGCCGGGCACGTGAAGCGAGCAGCAAGCAACAAACATGGTGGAAGGTGGGAACCAGCGCTAAATATTGCCCATAGGCACTCACACTCACACACATGTGTATGCATGCATGTTATAAACACGGGCATACACATCTAAAACTTTCCATTACTGATGAATGAGTGAATGTATAAAATGTATAGTCTGCTCTTTAAAACTGAGTAGACAACACTTACCATCGAGGAAGAGAAAATAAATCATTTTAAAAAAAGAAGATGCCTCTCTATGTATGGTAGGGAAATGGAGGGAAATAAAATTCTGCTCCACATGTACTTTGGATTAAAGGATTATATAGAAGGTGGCAGAGGACAGCTCAGTGTGTCCTGACACTCAAATGAAGCAATGCCCAAGTACAGCCTCGGGTTCAAAGTTCGGCAGAAGTTTCTGGAGCCCTTCATTCTCTCCATGTCCAACCAACCTAAATAAATGATTGTCAAAGACTTGAGGAAGAGGAAACAGATGGAGCACTGGCAAGGCAGCATGGGAGAGACAATATACTAAAACACACTTTGTTGGAAAATGTTGTAATGAGTATCTAATACCTGTGTATTAATTTTAAAACACAAAAAATCTGCCAAACAGACTGGGCATGGAGGTGCACATCTCTAACCTCAGTACTTGGGAAAATGCAGGTGGAAACTCATAAATTTGAGTCAATTTTTTTCCACTCTTGGTATATTGAGTTTGTGTACTCTTTCTTAGCCACATCTTGGAAGTTGAAATACATTAATCAGGAAAAAAATTACCAGGAGCTGAGAAGGTAGCTCAATGAGAGAATGTTCTTTTCCCGGCAACATGAGACTTCCAGCAGTAATTTAAGCTTTGTGAAAAAGTGTGTCCTGGTGTGGGGAGAGGGTGGAAAGAGAAGGAGTGGAGACAGGAAGCAACGATTATCAGAATAGTCCATATAATAGTGCTGTGCTAGAGCAGCCCATCTAATTCTATTTATAATCATGTTTCTCTCATAAACAGTTGTCTCCAATGAGCCATGGTCTCTTCAGCTCTTCATTAAACATGGTAATAGGCCACAGCGGTACAACACATTATAGTCACAAGGCAGCTTCGTGGGCTCTACCTCTTGTCGCCTCTATTTCTTCCATAGAGAATGATGGGTGATCTGAGTGTTTCTGGGTGGCTATTAGTTAATGCTTTGCAGACTTCCTTGATTAAAAGAATCGCACAGATTCTCTCGGTTTATGTTCCTAGTTTCTGAAGGGATGTGGAATCTCGAGGAAGTGACAGAATACTTTTTAGAAATGAGAAGCCTTTATCTTGGGTCTCCATTCTTTTTATTATGTGGAAGAATGACTCAGTATAGGTTCTGCTCCTGCCTGTCCCAGGGTTAGTTTTCCTTATGGACTACACCGTCTTTCCCAAAGCCTGGGATGGGAGCCCTCTCATGCAGTGATTCCTGTCTGCTGCTGCAACTTTCTGGAGATCAAAGGGCCCCTCTCTGTGCTGTCACAGTGAGTGACAGGCCAGCACTGTGCAGTGCAACAGATCAATCCATTCTATCTACAAAAATAATAGGACTTCTTCCTTAACTGGTTGAGTAAAATCAAAGGAACGGTCTTGAACAACTTAATTTCACCCTTCAGGGGCAGATCTTTCTTGGGCCCATGGCAAATTAAAATTAGGCTGTGCTATAATTGCTTCCGGGTTAGCCATTTTACTTCTATATCAATTTTGTTCTACTTTTTTCTGTGTCTTATCATTATTTAAAAATAAGTGTTATGTGAATGTTCTGAAAACTTAAAATGGAAGAAGGAAAAGAATAATCCTCAGTGATATGAATAACAGGTTTATATTTTGCCAAAAAACTGAGGCAGGAGGATTGAGACTTCAAGACCAGCCTGGCTATAGAGTGAATTCCAAGCTAGACTAGGTTACATAACAAGATCCTGTCTCCAATAAATAAATAAATAAATAAATAAATAAATAAATATTGAAAAATGTAATTAAATGAACTAATAAATAAAATTAACAAATTAATGAAATAGTCAACGGACTTTATCCATCTAGGGAGCCAATCACATGGCTGTCTTTATTTTTCGTTGGTTGGTTATTATTCCTTTCAGGTCATTCAGTCTAATGCCTCATCAACAAAGGTCATGACCAAGCACTAGAGGTGTACTACTTTGTTTTAGAAGAAACCAAAACATCTCAGTGCCTTCGTTTTGCCTAATATAGATTAGACCAATATTAAAAATGTGAGTGTGTGTACAGCTAGACTAACTTTATGGAATATTTTCACATACAAAAATTCACTATATTGCTATTTATAAAAGTCAGGACCCAGAAAACTTACAACAAAATGACTATTGCTTTCTGAATTTGGAATAAAGTTTAACAACTGAAAATTATAAAATCTATATCTTTACATAGCAAGGTTTGTGTGTTCATGAGATATATGTTTCAGGGTGTGTGTGTGTGTGTGTGTGTGTGTGTGTGTGTGTATTGTGTGTGTATACATATATATAACCCATTTTTAAATGAATGTGCCCCTTTCAAAAAAATAATGTTTGATGTGATGTCTAAGAAAATGTACAGATAAAAGAAACTTCCATAGAAACATGTCAAAACATTAAAAGTAATTATGAATATATAACTCCCCTTGGTAGCTGGGATCATAGATGAAGCTTCCTTATACTTTGCATGCTACATAATGTTTTCTAGTAAGCATGTATTTTTTCAGAGTTTTAAAAAGCTATTTTCTTCTCAAGAAAAAGTAACTCTTAAATGTAGAAACTATTTTTAGCAGGGTTTTGTTTTCTTCAAATGAAACTACTTACATGAAAAAAATACATGACAAAATACAGTAAATCTTAAGTAAGAAGGAAAACTAAGGAACGGAGTGTTTGACTGACTGGGTATCTATAGAGGGTTTATGGGCACAAAGCAAGGGCGCATCAAAGGGAACTCTACAGAGTGGCTTTCATCCAAACTTTGAAGGCCTTCTTTTTTTTAATGACTAGACCAAAACCAAAAATAGCATCCCCAACCCAGCAGTGTCACTAACCCACACAGCTTGGCTGGAAATATGTCCCAGTTCTGTCTCTCTGCTTCATCCACATGAAAATGACTGGAAGGATTTGTAGATAGATGATATAGACAGATGACAGCCAGATACATGGGCGACAGAAAAAAAGGTGAGATAGCCCCTCAGATACAAAACCTGATTGGCACAGCTGGAAGTTCTAACTCACGAGAGTGGACATGTCAGGATCAGAATCCCATTCCTGACTTTTGTTCAGTTAGTTAGCTGTGGCTGTTAATTTTTTTATTGTTGCATTTTATTGGTGTGGGGATGTGTTTGAGTGATGCATATGGGAAGGGGACAAGCTGTGGTGGCATCATGTAGAGGTCAGAGGACAATTTTGAGGAAGCCAGTTTTCTCCTTCTACCTCATGAGTCCTGAAATAAATTCAAATTGTCAGGCTTGGTGCTGGGAGCCTGATGAGCCATCTCACCAGGCTAGTTATCATTTTTATGCCATCATCCTCTCTCTCTCTCCCCCCCTCTCTCTCTCTCTATCTAATGCCTGTAGGGAAAACAGAAGGTCAGACCTGGCAAAAGACAAATGTTCTTGCCTCAAATTCAACTATTTCTTTTCCAGATGAAAAGCATCTGCATTTTGGCTCTAGGTTTTTACAAGAGACAACGTATCAAATTATAAGCCTGTAAAATATCTAATACAAGACCTTAGAGAAGCCATGGTGTTAAATGTCACAAGAGGTTTCCGCCTTAATATTTAGTGGCTGGCAGGAGATGAGTCATTGTCATGGAATTTAATTTCAAATTGTTTTCAAGTAAACTCAGAGGATCCAAGAGTATGAAATTTTGGAAGGTGACAAGGTGGCTTCAGAGATGTGAGAGTTTTTAAGCCATGTATCAAAGGTTGGTTCTAACAATCCTGGGGTTTTATCCTGCTCGCTTCCCTAGTCATTTCTAAAAGCTCTCAACCACCCTTCCCTATATAAGAAAATTCATCCTGGACTTCTTATCATCTTTGCTTGCCTGAGACCTCAAAGTATCAAGCCTCATATGCCTAGAAACTGCTCAAGCATTCCTTTCTGGGGGTTGTCATTAAATCCCTGCTTTCTGGATACAGGCATTGAGGGGGCAGCCACTGGTCAAGATCACCCCATGAGTCAGTGCCAAAGCTGGGAATACAACCCAGACTTTCTGACTCCCTGGCCTGTCCCCTGACCAGCAAGCCACATGCTCTTGACCAGTATGAAACAAGCTGTCTGTCTCTGTGTTCCCTCAATGCTGAGGGAAAGAAATGTCAACCTAGCCATTTCTTCTCCCAACCTTCATCAGTCATTTATTTCATCAGCCAACAGGCAAGTTACTCTAGATCATTCTTCATACTTGGAAAAAATTTTTTTTAAAAATTCATTTGTTAAGAAAAGGCTAGAAATTTGGAAGAGGAAGAAAGCAGCTTCTCCCCCTTGGTATCATATTTTGTAACACATGGGCGGTGTGGCCACATTGCAGACCGCTTCCTGTACTCCGCTGATGGTGGGATGTTTGGCCAGCTTTTCCATGTGGCCTTGTACCAGGGTCAGGCCTCAAGTGGTTCCTGGTGAGGGAAGGTCCCCTGCACAAGCCAGGCCTTGACGTGGCTACCTCCCCCCCAGCTCTTTTGAATCCTCCCTGACCACATAGTTCTGCTAACTATGCCCCACATGCCTCTCGAGATGGAGTCAGAGGGGACTGTCCAACAAGACGCCAGCCTGAGTCCAGGACAGCTTTACCAAAGACAAGGGGAAAGCTGAAGAACCCTCCCCTGCCAGTGACCACAACAGGGGAGACAGCGGCATTTAGGCTGTTGGGTTAACTGTCCTAGTTGTTCTCAGAGCTACGGAATTCCTTCTCTCAGTATTTTATACCTGTCATGTTGGATCACAAGACTCCTCTATCCAAATGAGCTGATTTGTTTATTTCCAACAGCCTGTCGCCATCTTAAAGTCAACTTCCAACTTGGCTTCCAGCCAGCTGGTTCTAACCTTCTTCCCATCTTGGTAGTTGGTCATGATCCAAGTGACAGTGGTCCCAGGTTCTGTGAGCAGGCATGTGTAGCAGCTGCAAAGAGTCGAGAAGAAAACAGAGTATCACTACAGAACCATTCCTTTCTACCCTGACTTTGTTAAGACTTCTCAGTCCAATCTGCTCTCATCAGAGTCATCTCAAATCTTCACCCAGCTTCGCAAGGCAGTGCTGAAAGTCGACCTCCCCAAATGCCCGTCTCCATCTGGACTCACGAAAGACTCTGAGAGCTGAATCCATCCCGTTGAGACTTCAGCACCACAACCTCACTGACACCTGGGTGGCCACACATCAGTTTTCCTACAGTTCTTAAAATTGCAACCCTTAGAGCATCTTGATTCTACTTGTCGTTCCAGTCACACATGCTTCCAAACTCACCATGTCATTCTTTCTCCAGCTCCTTCTGCCTGTACATGCCATCAAGTGTTTGCTTGGTGTGACAGCCCTCGGGGCACTCCAGGAGGAGTGACAGCATAATTTGTTTACTATTCTCTCCAAATTCTGAAGACGGAAACTTCATTAACTTTTCTGATAAAGCACAAAGACTGTGATTAGCCTTGTCCGTAAAATTAAAAAAGAAACATGTACATACAACTTGTGTTTTTTGAAGTTTCTGTTGCTCTACCTGAGTGATAAGGAGATGGAGGGAGCTGCTGCTGGCCCCTGTCCTGGCATCGAAATGACATAGTAGAAGTTCTGGTGACACCTGGCACAGATCTGTTTGCTTACCCAATGAAACTCCATGTTTCTTTGACCCAGTAACTAAACTTTAAGGACAGGAATTTTAAGAGAGAGAGAGAGAGAGAGAGAGAGAGAGAGAGAGAGAGAGAGATAAGAATATTGCACGAGGGGCTGGAGAAATGGACCAGGAGTTAAGAGACCCTGCTGCTCTTCTAGAGAACCCAAGTTCCACCCCCAGCACCCACATGACAGCTTGCAACCATCTGTAACCCCTGTTCTAGGGGGGGAAATATGATGCCCTCTTCTGGCCTCTGCAGGAACTACACATGTACACAGACATGCATGCAGGCAAAATGCCCATACACTTATAAGAAAAAAGAAAAAACGGAAGGAAGGGAGGGAGAGAAAGGGGGAGGGAGGGAGGGAGGGAGGGAGGGAGGGA